GTTATTGTGGCTTATTAACATTTTATTTTTAATATTTTGATTGAGCTTTGTACCACGATTGTTTATTAGGAAAAATTTAAAAAGCAACAAAGTCTAAGCGGTAGAAGTTATAGCAGCTATTTCGGAGATCACCACATCTCTTCATCAGACTTCTTTTTTTCCAGACTTCAGTTTTAAAATTTGCGTTTGTTTGCAAAATAAATGCATAATGCGTTCTTGCTTATTTATATGAAGTTTTTTTTATAGCTACAGCTTTAATTTGAATGAATTCTGGTCCAGAATGGTTTGTAGCTGATTGCAGATTTAAATTTATTTTAGTTGAAAAATAACTGCTTAATGTGTTTTTTACAAAGTTTATATGAATTTTTTTTACAGTTACAGCTTTAATTATAATGAACTTTGGCCTATAATCGTAGTTGATTGTAGATTTAAATTTTTTTTGTTGAAAAATAAGTGCATAATACGTTTTTTTAAATTTATATGAAGTTTTTTTACAGCCACAGCTTTTATTTTAATTAATTCTGGTCTAGGATAGTTTGTAGTTGATTGAAGTTTAATTTTTTTTTTTAGTGTTAAAATAAGTGCGTATTCTGTTTTTTTGTATGAAGTTTTTTACAGCTGTAGCTTTAATTTTAATGAATTCTGGTCTAGAATCGTTTGTAGTTGATTGTATTTTAATTTTTTTTTTTAGTGTTAAAATAAGTGCGTATTCTGTTTTTTTGTATGAAGTTTTTTACAGCTGTAGCTTTAATTTTAATGAATTCTGGTCTAGAATCGTTTGTAGTTGATTGTAGTGTAATTTTTTTTTTATTTGAAAAATAAGTACATAATGCGTTTTTTAAAAAACTTATATGAAATTTTTTACAGCTGCAGCTTTAATTGTAATGAATTCTGGTCCACAATCGTTTGTAGTTGATTGTAGTTTTAAAATTTCTTTTTACTTGAAAAATAAGTGCGTAATGCGTTTCTTTTAATTTACAGCGTGGCTACGAATAACTGTTACCCCGTTTTTTTTGAGAAATAAAAGGGTCCTTTATATATTTTGCAAAAAAAGTATTATATTGATAATTTTCCACAGATTTTACTTTAGTTGTATTAATTAGTTGTTAAATTTTAATCCCTATTTACATTTGCCAGCAGTTTAAACTTTAAGAGAAAAGTTCATTTGGCACGCAAGTCTTTTTCAAGTGTATTTNTTTTTTTTGAGAAATAAAAGGGTCCTTTATATATTTTGCAAAAAAAGTATTATATTGTTAATTTTCCACAGATTTTACTTTAGTTGTATTAATTAGTTGTTAAATTTTAATCCCTATTTACATTTGCCAGCAGTTTAAACTTTAAGAGAAAAGTTCATTTGGCACGCAAGTCTTTTTCAAGTGTATTTTTTCTTAGGCTTTGTATAAAAAAAATACAAAGAAGAAATAATCTGTATGAGGTTGGTCGAATGAATGGCCGTCCTAGTCACCAGTTCCGAGTCTATTCGATTTTTGAGGATGAGGCCTTATGTTAGACAAAAGGGGTAGTATAAGGGACTCAAAATGGAGAAAATTTGCCTGTGGTTACAGAAGATATGGAATAAATTAATTGACGAAGACCTGCGTGCCAAATGAACTTTTCTCTCAAAGTTTACACTGCTGGAAGATGTATATAAGGATTAAAATTTAAAAACTAATTAATACAACTAAAGTAAAATCTGTGAAAAATTATCAATAAAATAATTTTTTTGCAAAATCTATAAAGGACCCATTTATTTCTCAAAAAAACCGGGGTAACAGTTATTCGTAGCCACGCTGTATATGAAGTGTTTTACAGCTACAGCTTTAATTTTAATGTATTCTGGTCTAGAATCGTTTTAAGTTGATTGTAGTTTAAATTTTCTTTTAGTTGAAAAATAAGTGTACAATGCGTTTTTTTTTTAATTTATATGAAGTTTTTTACAGCTACAGCCTTAATTTTAATGAATTCTGGTCTAGAATCGGTTATAGTGTATTGTAGTTTTAAATCTTTTTTTATTTGAAAATTAAGTGCATAATGCCTTTTTCAAAAATTGTATATGAAGTTTTTTACAGTTACAGCTTTAATTTTAATGAATTCTCGTCTAGAATCGTTAATAGTTGATTGTAGTTTTAAATTTTTTTTTGTTAGTTGATAAATAAGTGCACATTGCATTTTTTTTTTACTTTATATGAAGGTTTTTACAGCTACAGCTTTAATTTTAATGAATTCTGGTCTTGAATCGTTTGCAGTTGATTGTAGTTTTACATTTTTTGTTAGTTGAAAGATACATAAGTGCGCAATGTGCTTTTTTTAACTTATATGAAGTTTTTTACAGCTACAGCTTTAATTTTAATGAGCTCTGGTCCAGAATCGTTTGTAGGTTATTGTAGTTTAAATTATTATTTTTAGTTGAAAATTAAATGCATAATGCGTTTTTTAAATTTATATGAAGTTTTTTACAGCTACAGCTTTAATTTTAATGAATTCTGGTCTAAAATCGTTTGTAGTTGATCGTAGTTTTAAGAGTTTTTTTTGTTGAAAAATAAGTGCATAATGCGTTTCGTTTTTATTTATATGACGTTTTTTACAGTACAGCTTTAATTTTTATGAATTCTGTTCCAGAATCGTTTGTAGTAATTTTTTTTTTATTTGAAAAATAAATGCATAATGCTTTTTTTTAATTTATATGAAGTTTTTTACAGCTGCAGCTTTCATTGTAATGAATTCTGGTCCAGTGTCGTTTGTAGTTGATTCTAGTTCTAAAATTTCTTTTTAGCTGAAACATAAGTGCGTAATAAGTTTTTTTAAATTTATATGAAGTTTTTCACAGTTACAGCTTTAATTTTAATGAATTCTGGTCTTGAATCGTTTGTAGTTGATTGTAGTTAAATTATTATTTTTTAGTTTAAAAATAAGTGCATAATGCGTTTTTTTTTTATTTATATGAAGTTTTTTACGGCTACAGCTATAAATTTAATGAATTCTGGTCTAGAATCGTTTGTAGTTGATTGAAGTTTTAAATTTTTTTCTTTATTTGAACAAGTAAGAAAGTCTAAGTTCGGGCGGCGCCGAACATTAAATACCCGGCGCAAGTATTAAATAAATGTTTTTTTTTCACTTTTCCGAAGTCTACCGCTACATGGTAAGCTCGGGTGTTTCAATTTTGAGTAAATTAGNATGAATTCTGGTCTAGAATCGTTTGTAGTTGATTGAAGTTTTAAATTTTTTTCTTTATTTGAACAAGTAAGAAAGTCTAAGTTCGGGCGGCGCCGAACATTAAATACCCGGCGCAAGTATTAAATAAATGTTTTTTTTTCACTTTTCCGAAGTCTACCGCTACATGGTAAGCTCGGGTGTTTCAATTTTGAGTAAATTAGCCTTAAATTTCGAAATATTGAAGTTTCAAGCTTTTCTGAAATTTACCGTTATATGAAAAGCGGCCGTAATTTTAGTCCGATTTCATTAATTTTCAACATTTTGGTTTTGTGTGGCAAGCACAAATTGGTACAAATTGGTATAACGGTTACCGAGATACATATATGTGATCATAAGTGGGCGGTGCCACGCCGATTTTCCAAAATTTTATCAAAAGCGTATTTCTTGGTAAAGAATAGTTGCAACCATCAATTTTGAATAAATTAGCTTTAATATTTACTGATTTATCGAAGATTTTCTATTTCTCCAAATTACCGTTATATAGGATGTGGGCGTGGTTCTTGTCTGATTTAAAAAGTTTTAACATTTGGTACATTGTACCAAGGCCAATAACTGTGCCGAGTTTGGAAGAAATTGGTGTAGCGGTTACCAAGATATACACATGCAACCATAAGTGGGCGTGGCTACGCCCATTTTCCATAAATTTATTATATTCTTATATTTCGTCTGAAAATTATTGTAAATATCAATTTTGAGTAAATTATCCTCAGTAGTTACTAAAATATCACAGTTTTCTTATTTCTGGAAATTACCGTTATAGGGAAGTGGGCGTGGTTGCTGTCCGATTTCGCCCATTTTCAATACCAACCTACCTTGGTTAAATGGAAACCTACATACCAAATTTCATTGAGATATCTCAATTTTTGCTCGAGTTATCGTGTACACGGACGGACGGACAGATGGACGGACAGACAGAGTTGGCTTAATCGACTTCTCTATCCATTCTTAGCATTTATGTATACATTTGTCTATATCTATCTCGATTCGTTTTGTCTGTTACAAACAACCGTTATGTGAACAAAATTAATATACCCTTGTGCACAAGTGCGCTCGGGTATAAAAATAAGAGCATAATGCGCTTTTGAGAAAACTTATATGAAGTTTTTTACAGCTACAGCTTCAATTTTAATGAATTCTGGTCCAGAATTGTTTGTACTTGATTGTAGTTTTAAAATTTTTTTTATTTGAAAAATAAGTGCATAATGCTTTTTTTTAAATTTATATGAAGTTTTTTACAGCTACAGCTTCAATTTTAATGAATTCTGGTCCAGAATTGTTTGTACTTGATTGTAGTTTTAAAATTTTTTTTAAGTTGAAAACTAAGTGTTTAATGGGTTTTTTTAGATTTATATGAAGTTTTTTCGACTACACATTTAACTTTGATAAATTCTGGTCCAGGATGCTTTTTAGTTGTATGCAGTTTAATTTTTTTCTTTTAGTTGAAAAATTAGTTCACAATGCGTTTTTTTTTTAATTTATAAGAAGTTTTTTACAGCTACAGCTTTAAGTTTAATGAACTCTGATCTAGAATCGTTTGTAGTTGATTGTAGTTTTAAATTTTTTTTTTAGTTGAAAAATAAGTGCGTAATGCGATTTTGTTTTAATTTAAATGAAGTGTTTTTACAGCTACAGCTTTAAGTTTAATGAACTCTGATCTAGAATCGTTTGTAGTTGATTGTAGTTTTAAATTTTTTTTTTAGTTGAAAAATAAGTGCATAATGCGTTTATATTTTAAATTTATATGAAGTTTTTACAGCTACAGATTTAATTTTAATGAATTCTGTTCTAGAAACGTTTGTAGTTGATGGTAGTATTACATTTTTTTAGTTGAAAAATAAGTGCGTAATGCTTTTTTTTAAATTTATATGAAGTTTTTAACAGCTACATCTGTAATTTTAACGAATTGTGGTCGAGAATCGTTTGTAGTTGATTATAGTTTTACATTTTTTTTTAGTTTAAAAATAAGTGCATAATGCGTTTTTTTTTTAAATTTATGTGAAGTCTTTTACAACTACAGCTTTAGGTTTAATGAATTCTTTTCTAGAATCGTTTGTAGTTGATTGTAGTTTTAATTTTTTTTTTAGTTATAACATACATAAGTGCGTAATGCGTGTTTTTTATGAAGTTTTTTCAAGATACAGTTTTAATTTTAATGAATTCTGGTCTAAAAAAAAAATTTACAACTACAAACGATTCTAGACCAAAATTCATTAAAATTAAAGCTGTAGCTGTAAAAACTTCGTATAAATTAAAAAAAAAAACCTCTTACGCACTTATTTTTCAACTAAAAACAAAATTTAAAACTACAATCAACTACAAATGATTCTGGGCCAGAATTCACTAAAATAAAAGCTGCAGCTGTAAAAAAAGTTCATATAAATTAAAAAAAAACGCATTACGCACTTATTTTTGAAATAAAAAATATTTTAAAACTACAATCAACTACAAACGATTCTGGACCATAAT